GTGTGGCTAGTTGTATCCTTGCCCATGTAACAAATATTACGTTGACTAATAATAAAAAATCGGCCATAGTACCCGGCCTTTAAAAAAAAAAAAAAAAAAAAAACTTTTACAAATATCCTGAATATATATGTTACCAAAATATAGTAGGTTTTCAAAAAAACTCTATTTTGTCTCTATTAGAGCAAATTAGAATTTTTTATATACAAGAGCAAATTTAATTTAGGTAGTTATATTCTTTATAATTTTATCTCTTCAAAAAAAATGGCAAAAAATTTTATCTTTTAAGTAAAATAGGTCAAAAACAATTTCATTTTCAAATTTTAATTTCAGGTTTTAGATTCCAAAATAATTTTGTCAACATATATAGTTCTAAAATCAAACTCAGGCTTGTCTAGATAATTATCATCGTAAAGACCGTTAGTAAAGTCAACAAATACATGGTAGTTTAGAAAAAAAACATGCCAAAAAGGACCTGAGCAAATGAAGGTTCTACTCGCAAAACTTGTTGAAGTTTATTATATTTGCTAAGTACAAGATCAAGAAAGTTATACTAATTGTAATCAGAGCCTTGGTGGCAAGTTTAACAAAATTGGAGTTTAAAAAAAATGGAATGTGAAAATTATTTAGTAATATTGATAAAGAACATCATGAAAACTATAGTTAAAGAGGTTGTACAAAACCTGAGAATATTTCAAAAGAAACAACAAAAGTATAAGTCATGTTTGTATTACTTGTATTGAAGTAAAGAACACTTGGCTTGTTCATGTTCATCTATGGAAGATCAAGTCTGTGAATAACATTTAAATAATAAGTAGATAGAAGTACATCATGTATATGTTGATGAAAAGGAGAACATTAAATATCAAAAATGTAGTATGAAAGTTTCAAATCAAATAAAGAAGAAGGTTGATGATAATAATAAAGCAGTGAAAAAGGTGAAAATAAATGGAGAATTTGCAAAAGCATCAATTAGGCTCAGTTCAAATGTGAATAAAATAAGCATAGAGTATGTAAAAAAGAAAAACCTTGTCTAGAAATGTATAAATATTAAAGCCAGTGGTCATATTGATAATGTTAAGTTCGTTGGATATATTCCTGGACTTGAGGTTGATATTGATAATGTTAAAGTAGTTCAAAAGTTCTATATAAAGTGTGAATTGTATTGTGACGTCGTTCTTGGAATGCTATGAATTGTAAAAACAAGGTATAGTTTTGGATAAAGAAATAGAAAATATTGTGATACAATTTGAACCGGTTATGGTAAAATGATATTTGTGATTTTGGAAGAACTAATTATTGATAAAAATATTGTAGGAAAAGGTAGTATGATGAAGAGTAATGATCGATAAGAGAATAAATTTGTAAATATTAGGTGTGTCAAAGGTGATTTGATTAAGAATAATAATGTTGATAATAGAGCGAAGAAAAAGAGAACTATTAATATAATATTGAACTTTGATGAAATGAATCAAATGAGTAAAACAAAAGTTGAAAACATACCTGTCATATTCTATAGAAATGATAATGATAAAGAATTGGTGAAGAAATTTGTAATCGATAATGGTGATAAAAATCATGTTAATAGAACATATAATATTGGGTATTGCTACAAAAATAAAATCGAAATTACGAGAAGTAAAAGCAATGAGAATAAGATATTTGATCATTATCAAAAATTAGCTGAGATGAATTATATTGTTAGACATTGTTATGGAAATGAGACCAGTGCTGAAAAAAATAAAAATAAAGCCTTCGAATATCATCAAAAATCTTCTAATATGAATGATGCTGATAAAGCATCTAAAATCAAACATTGCTATCATCATAAAGTTGAAATTGAAAAAAATAATCATAAGGAATTCATTTATTATCAAAGATCTAATGAGATAGATCATGTTAGTGGAATCTATAATCTCAGATATTGTCTTCGAAATAGGACCGAAGCTGTAAAAGCTATTGATAAAAATAGAATAAGGGTTAAAAGAGACAAACAAAAGATATTTGATTATGATCAAAACCTTGATAAGGTGGGAAATTTCAGCAAATGGTGTTAATAATGAAAAGAATAAATATAAAATGTTTATTCATTATTAAAAATCTACTAATATGAGCAATATTAATGAAATGATTGTGGCTGGACATCATTATTAAAATGAACTAGTAGTAGTAATTGAAGCACTATTAGATGAAGTTATGAAAATAGATATGATAATAAGAAGCCTACTAGAAATGTTGACGAAGACTGAATATAGTATTAATAATGCGAACAATGAGAATGATATGATTAAAGTGTATAAAAATGAATCCAGAGGATCTAGCTCAGATAGTAGAGTGAATAAATCTAGAAATTACTATGAAACTAGAATTCAGAATAAAAAGGATGGACAAAAGGTATTTGTTTATTGCTGAAGCCTCAAGAAAATAAGTTATAGTAATAAAGTACGTGATCACAGGTATGATGACAAAAATAAGAGATACATAGTATTAAGAGAAGCATGTATGAGTCAGCCAAGCACTATATGAATGATAAATAGTATATTTAGAACTAGAGATTATGTAAACAAATCAATAAAGTTATGTGATTTGAGTTATTGAAGAGCTAATAATATGCATTGGAAGTTTAGGAGTTCAATTAAAAGTACTTCACGGGATATAGATATTTAGGATCGATATAAAAGTATAAAAGGTGAAATACTAAGTATGCAAAAGCTTGATAGTAATAAGAACCTTGAGAAAAGTATTAATCAAAGTAAATAGGACACTGCATATTGTAAAGTGAAAGATTAGAAACTAAAGTATCAATATAATAAAGGGCGTAATGTGAAAGAAATTAATTTCTATAAATGATTGTACTTAGATCAGATTATTGGATATAGTTTAGATAAATTTCAGCACGGAATACATTTTTCATGAAAAATTCGACAAGGGTAGAATCGCCACCAAAAAAAGTTCAAGT